TATGAGACATTGTCACGTTCGTTCATAGACGGGTCAGACCAAGGCGCAGCGTGATATGCATAGATGTTTATTTGAACCAAATAAAAAACAAACTAAACGAAACGTGAAGTCCAAGGTACACAAACAACATACCTCACACGGAACAAGATCCCACAACTCAATAGTGCCAATAGGCTGCCTAAGTATGGTCCCCAATCAGAGACAACGAGCGACAGCTGCCTCTGATTGGGAACCACACCGGCCAACATAGAAATACCAATACTAGATAGAAAACATAGAACTACACAACATAGAATATACACACCCTGACTCAACATATAAGCGTCCCCTGAGTCAGGGCGTGACAGTACCCCCCCCCCCCCCCCCCCCCCCCAAAAGGTGCGGACTCCGACCGCACAACATAAACATAACAGGGTAGGGGCCGGGTGGGCATTCCGCCTCGGAGGCGGATCCGGCTCAGGGCGTGACGACCTCTCACTCTTCGCCTCCCTGTTGCGCCCCTGGTCTGGTCTAGACCTCGGCGCGTTGCTTCCCCTCTCCTTCCTCCCACGATATGCCAGGCCCAGTCTGGACCCTGGTGTGGGAGACCCCGAACCTGGAGAGGGGCTGACTTCATGGTCTGGACTGGAGCCGCTGACCGGAGCTGGACCGGGCACCGGTGGAGCGGACTGCTCAGGCTCCGAACTGGAGCCCGGTGGAGCGGACTGCTCTGGCTCCGGAGTGGAGCAAATGACCGGAGTTGGATCAGGCACCGGTGGAGCGGACTGCTCTGGCTCCGGAGTGGAGCCGCTGACCGGAGCTGGACTGGACCCCGGTGAAGCGGATTGCTCTGGCTCCGGAGTGGAGCAGCTGACCGGAGCTGAACTGGGCACCGGTGGAGCGGACTGCTCTGGCTCCGGAGTAGAGCAGCTGACCGGTGCCGGACCAGACACCGGTGGAACAGGCACGGGCCGTGCCGGACTGGACACACGCACCACTGGCTTGGTGCGAGGAGCAGGAACAGGCCGGACCGGGCTGGCGACGCGCACCACTGGCTTGGTGCGGGGAGCAGAAGGGCCGGGCCGGGCTGGCGACGCGCACCACTGACTTGGTGCGAGGAGCAGGAATGGGTCGGGCCGTACTGGGAACACGCACCACTGGCTTAGTGCGGGGAGCAGGAGCGGGCCGGACCAGACTGGCGACACGCACCACTTGCTTGGTGCGAGGAGCAGGACTGGGTTCCTTTATTAACCCCCGCTCCTTCTGCTGCCTAACCAGCTCCTCTCGCCGTGCCTCTACACTTTCCTTATCCCTTTTAGCCTCCTGTAGCGTCTCCCTCTGACCGAATAACTCCTGCTCCCTCTGAACCAATAGCCCCCGTAACATGGTGGCCTCCTCTCCTAACCTGCAGATTCGCCCTTCCACGGCCTCCTGCTGCCTCGTCATCCACCCCGTGTGCCCCCCCCCCCCCCCCCCAACATTTTCTTGGGGTTGCCTCTGGGGTCTCCGTCGTCGGCACGGTTGGTGCCGTTTCTCCTCTCCTACCTGGGCATCAACCTTCATCGCCTCCCGATAATGGACGGCATCCTCCTCAGTAATTCTCCCCCAACCGAGGAGGACATCTACTAAAGTTACCTCCCGTTGAATCCCCGGCGTTTGCTCCTTCTGGGCACGCTGCTTGGTCCTTGTTTGGTGGGATCTTCTGTCACGTTCGTTCATAGACGGGTCAGACCAAGGCGCAGCGTGATATGCATAAATGTTTATTTGAACCGAATAAACAACAAACTAAACGAAACGTGAAGTCCAAGGTACACAAACAACATACCTCACACGGAACAAGATCCCACAACTCAATAGTGCCAATAGGCTGCCTAAGTATGGTCCCCAATCAGAGACAACGAGCGACAGCTGCCTCTGATTGGGAACCACACCGGCCAACATAGAAATACCCATACTAGATAGAAAACATAGAACTACACAACATAGAATATACACACCCTGACTCAACATATAAGCGTCCCCTGAGTCAGGGCGTGACAGTACCCCCCCCCCCCCCCCCCCCCAAAAGGTGCGGACTCCGACCGCACAACATAAACATAACAGGGTAGGGGCCGGGTGGGCATTCCGCCTCGGAGGCGGATCCGGCTCAGGGCGTGACGACCTCTCACTCTTCGCCTCCCTGTTGCGCCCCTGGTCTGGTCTAGACCTCGGCGCGTTGCTTCCCCTCTCCTTCCTCCCAAGATATGCCAGGCCCAGTCTGGACCCTGGTGTGGGAGACCCCGAACCTGGAGAGGGGCTGACGTCATGGTCTGGACTGGAGCCGCTGACCGGAGCTGGACCGGGCACCGGTGGAGCGGACTGCTCAGGCTCCGAACTGGAGCCCGGTGGAGCGGACTGCTCTGGCTCCGGAGTAGAGCAGCTGACCGGTGCCGGACCAGACACCGGTGGAACAGGCACGGGCCGTGCCGGACTGGACACACGCACCACTGGCTTGGTGCGAGGAGCAGGAACAGGCCGGACCGGGCTGGCGACGCGCACCACTTGCTTGGTGCGAGGAGCAGGACTGGGTTCCTTTATTAACCCCCGCTCCTTCTGCTGCCTAACCAGCTCCTCTCGCCGTGCCTCTACACTTTCCTTATCCCTTTTAGCCTCCTGTAGCGTCTCCCTCTGACCGAATAACTCCTGCTCCCTCTGAACCAATAGCCCCCGTAACATGGTGGCCTCCTCTCCTAACCTGCAGATTCGCCCTTCCACGGCCTCCTGCTGCCTCGTCATCCACCCCGTGTGCCCCCCCCCCCCCCCAACATGTTCTTGGGGTTGCCTCTGGGGTCTCCGTCGTCGGCACGGTTGGTGCCGTTTCTCCTCTCCTACCTGGGCATCAACCTTCATCGCCTCCCGATAATGGACGGCATCCTCCTCAGTAATTCTCCCCCAACCGAGGAGGACATCTACTAAAGTTACCTCCCGTTGAATCCCCGGCGTTTGCTCCTTCTGGGCACGCTGCTTGGTCCTTGTTTGGTGGGATCTTCTGTCACGTTCGTTCATAGACGGGTCAGACCAAGGCGCAGCGTGATATGCATAAATGTTTATTTGAACCGAATAAACAACAAACTAAACGAAACATGAAGTCCAAGGTACACAAACAACATACCTCACACGGAACAAGATCCCACAACTCAATAGTGCCAATAGGCTGCCTAAGTATGGTCCCCAATCAGAGACAACGAGCGACAGCTGCCTCTGATTGGGAACCACACCGGCCAACATAGAAATACCCATACTAGATAGAAAACATAGAACTACACAACATAGAATATACACACCCTGACTCAACATATAAGCGTCCCCTGAGTCAGGGCGTGACAGACATAGGCTACATCATCATGGTTCAGAAGAGGGTGAGTAAAGAGAAAAATGTGAAGGGAGGTGGCGTGAGCAGCAGCTATGTAGAAAAAATGTGTGTGTAAAATAACGTGATCCGTATCCGTAGCTTTGAGAAAGAGGTTTCCAGAGGAGTGGGATTATAGACCAGTTTGGGTTAGTGATCCTTTGTAGAGTGGCTCTCTATTTGCCCTCAGCATACATTTTTTCACCATTCTGAATGTCTAAAGAATCCGTATGAACACAGATTGGCCATCTTAATCTTTTCTTTTTATTGGCCAGTCTGAGATATGGCTTTTTCTTTGCAACTCTGCCTAGAAGGTCAGCATACGGGAGTCGCCTCTTCACTGTTGACGTTGAGACTGGTGTTTTGCGCGGGTACTATTTAATGAAGCTGCCAGTTGAGGACCTGTGAGGAGTCTGTTTCTCAAACTAGACACTCTAATGTATTTGTCCTCTTGCTCAGTTGTGCACTGGGGCCTCCCACTCCTCTTTCTATTCTGGTTAGAGCCAGTTTGCGCTGTTCTGTGAAGGGAGTAGTACACAGCGTTGTACTAGATCTTCAGTTTCTTGGCAATTTCTCGCATGGAATAGCCTTCATTTCTCAGAACAAGAATAGACTGACGAGTTTCAGAAGGATGTTCTTTGTTTCTGGCCATTTTGAGCTTGTAATCGAACCCACAATTGCTGATGCTCCAGATACTCAACTAGTCTCAAAAAGGCCAGTTTTATTGCTTCTTTAACCAGCACAACAGTTTTCAGCTGTGATAACATAATTGCAAAATGGTTTTCTAATGATCAATTAGCCTTTTAAAATGATCAACTTGGATTAGCAAACACAACGTGCCATTGGAACACAGGACTGATGGTTGCTGATAATGGGCCTCTGTACGCCTATGTAGATATTCCATTAACAATCAGCCGTTTCCAGCTACAATAGCCATTTACAACATTAACAATGTCTACACTGTATTTCTAATCAATTTGATGTTATTTTAATGGACAACAAAATTGCTTTTCTTTCGAAAACAAGGACATTTCAAAGTGACCCCAAACTTTTGAACGGTAGTATATATCCGCCTCACTCTCAGAGAAATAAGTTGTACTGCTAGGTTTTACACAGTCAAACATAAAAAAATAACTACATTTTTAATAAAGAACTGTACAAATGATATATTGTGTGACATCAATATAAAAATATAAAAAAAGTGAATCAATACAGTAATATGAGATCTGTATGAAAAAAACATTTACATTTGATATTTTAGTAATTTATCAAATGCTCTTCTCCAGAGAGACTTACAGTTAGTGCATTGATCTTTAGATTGCTAGGTGAGACAACCACATATCACAGTCATTCCATTCCATTCCAGCTAAATAATGAATGGATATATACCATTTTGCAACAAAAATAAAACATTTTAATACACATCTAAAATCTATGAATAAAAAATCTGAAAAGAGTAATATTTTATACATACATGAAGGTACACATAAGCAATCATTTCTATTAAAAAAACACAAATGTGAAAAATGTGTGGATATAGCGTTTTGGAAATAAACTTTTCAAATGTACTTCTAGTACCCCTTTCATCCTTTCTGCATTCTAAAAGGTACTCTGAGTATCCCCTGTCCCTGACCTGTGAGATGAGGAGTTGGCAGGAGGACAGCTCTCTTCCCGTCTCCTCCATCTTCCTATGACACTCCATCTGAAGGTTCTCCAGCTGACGACAGCGTTTCACCATGGACTTGACCTCTGACTTGATCTTACTGATGTAGAGACGGGCCACCGTAAACTCCTCCTCGATCGCACCCGTTATTTCCATCGGCTGGGGGGAGTGACAAAGATGACCATTATCATTGATTCAATATGTTCCTATATGTTTGCTTTGTCAATGTATATGGCTACCTCTCTATGGCAATAAATCCTTTTGAATTTGAGAGACAGAGAAAATAGAGAGATAGAGAGCTGAACAGGGAGCAGGAGAGAGAGAGAGAGAGAGAGAGAGAGAGAGAGAGAGAGAGAGAGAGAGAGAGAGAGAGAGAGAGAGAGAGAGAGAGAGAGAGAGAGAGAGAGAGAGAGAGAGAGAGAATGAGGCAGAGAGAGAAAAACCTCTGCCGTTCAACTCTTAAAATCAAAAAATGAGAGAGAGCTGTGCCTATCTGCGCTTGTATTCACAAAGTATGTCAGGAGTGCTGACAGGATCACAATCACTAAGATATATGGACAGGGGGACCTAGCCTCGACCTCAGGGGTTCTAGGAGAGTTTCTCAGAGAATACAGTGTTTAGCATCTAGATCAGCCCTCCTTGATCAGCATCCTAGATCAGCACTTTTTTTTATACGCTTAGAATTATTGGTTACCCGAGGAACCCCTGGAGTTCCTTAAGGAACCATTGCTAGTCAATGGTTCATATTTGCACCTTCAGTTAGTTGAGGGGTTCTTGGAGGAAAATTTAATGGTTCAACGTAGGAACGGGTTCCTAGTGCACCTGAGTGGCGCAGTGGTCTAAGGCACTGCATCGCAGTGCTAGCTGTGCCACTAGAGATCCTGGTTCAAATCCAGGCTCTGTCGTAGCCGGCCGTGACCGGGAGACCCATGGGGCGGCGCGCAATTGGCCCAGCGTCGTCCAGGGTAGGGGAGGGAATGGCCGGCAGGGATGTAGCTCAGTTGATAGAGCATGGCGTTTGCAATGCCAGGGTTGTGGGTTTGATTCCCACAGGGGGTATGAAAAAAAAGAATAATGTAAGTCGCTCTGGATAAGAGCGTCTGCTAAATGACGTAAATGTAAATGTAGTGGAACCCTGGAGTGGAAGCGTGGCTTAGTAGGGGCATGGCTTTAAGATATATATTTATTTGGCCACTCGTTAGAGCAAATGCCATTACATCTGTTCTGTTGTATTGTCAACAGACGTTAAGGTTGAACACTGACAGTTTTGTAGCTTCAATGAGGCTAACAGAGGTGTATGATCCCCTCAAAAGCCTATGCAAATTCCAAAGTTGTAATAGTTTCCACTTTATTACTGAACGTAATCAGCAATGTTAATATTATTTATATTATATTAGAATATGTACTGTAAGAAATATCCAAAAACATTTTAATTTGCACAAACTTAACATGATTAACAGAAATGACGTTTTACGCTAACGGGTGACCAAAAAGAACTATCTGAAGGCCACGCCTCCAATAAGCCGCACCTTCAATCTGATAGGCTGCCACCTCTACATTACATTATTAAAAATATTTCAAATGTAACCCCTCCCATCACAAAAAGGTTCCTGTTTGAACCTTTACACAGGGGTTCCTTGAAGACCCTTTTCAAAGGGGTTCCTCAAGGAACCTTTTTCAACTGGAAAGGTTCTGCCGGTATGGCAACCCAACATTTTCTTCCAGGCACCTTTACTTCTATGAATGTAGTCTTGGTGATAGCAGACCACAGGAGGTTGGTGGCACCTTAATTGGGGAGAACGGGCTCGTGGTAATGACTGGAGCAGAATCAGGGGAATGGTATCAAATACATCAAACATGGTTTCCAGGTGTTTGATTCCATTCCATTTGCTTCGTTCCGGCCATTATTATGAGCTGATCTCCCCTCAGCAGCATCCACTGTAGCAGACGCACCAGTTTGATGTCCTTGTTGTTTAAGTAAAAGTCAAGTATCAAGTATCAAGAATCAACGATCAAGCAAAGTCAAGTCAACTCAGAAATAGTATTTTACAACTAAAGTATAGTACTGACCAGTTTGATGTCTTTGTTGCCTACTATGGCGCTGAACTCAGAGAGGTCCCTCATTAGGCCGTTGAGAACCTCAGCGATGCGTTTCCTCTGATGACCGCTCACTTCCTGTAGACGAGACAGCTCTGCCTCAATTCGCATCAGGTGAGCCTGGAGTTAGGAGGAGAAGAAGAAGAAGAGAATTTGTACTTATATTTATTATGGATCCCCATTAGCTGCTGTATAGTACGTATTTTATTGTGTGTTTGTATGCATGTGACTATGTTCGTGTTGCTTCACAGTCCCCGCTGTTCCATAAGGTGTATTTTTACTAAGAGTTTACAAAGGGTTGGTAACAGGCTGATTGGTCGGCTATTTGAGCCAGTAAAGGGGGCTTTAGTATTCTTAGGTAGGGGAATAACTTTTTCTTCCCTCCAGGTCTGAGGGCACACACTTTCTAGTAGGCTTAAATTGAAGATATGGCAAATAGGAGTGGCAATATCGTCCGCTATTATCCTCAGTAATTTTCCATCCAAGTTGTCAGACCCCGGTGGCAAGTCATTGTTGATTAACAATAATAATTTGTTCACCTCTTCCACACTTACTTTACGGAATTCAAAATTACAATGCTTGTCTTTCATAATTTGGTCAGATATACTTGGATGTGTAGTGTCAGCGTTTGTTGCTGGCATGTCATGCCTAAATTTGCTAATCTTGCCAATGAAAAACTCATTAAAGTAGTTGGCAATTTCAGTGGGTTTTGTGATGAATGAGCCATCTGATTCAACGAATGATGGAGAGGAGTTTGCCTTTTTGCCCAAAATCTCATTTAAGGTGTTCCAAAGCTTTATACTATCATTCTTTCAGTTATGCCATTTATCTTTGTTTCATAGTGTAGTTTCTTATTCTTTTTATTCAGTTTAGTCACATTATTTCTCAATTTGCAGTACGTTTGCCAATTGGTTGTACAGCCAGACCTATTTGCCATCTCTTTTGCCTCATCCTTCTCAACCATACAATTTTACAATTCCTCATCAATCCACAGGGATTTAACAGTTTTTACAGTCATTTTCTTAATGGGTGCATGCTTACTAGTAACTGGGATAAGCAATTTCATAAATGTGTCAAGTGCAGCATCTGGTTGCTCGTCATTACACACCACAGACCAACACATATTCTTCACATCAACAACATAGGAATCACTACAGAACTTCTTGTATGACCTCTTATGCACAATATTAGGCCCAGCCTTTGGAACTTTGGTTTTCCTAGATATGGCTACTATATTGTGATCACTACATCCGATGGATTTGGATACTGCTTTCAAACAAATTTCTGCAGCATTAGTAATGATATGATCAACACATGTTGATGATTTCATTCCTGTACTGTTTGTAACTACCCTGGTAGGTTGATTGATAACCTGAACCAGGTTGCAGGCACTAGTTACAGTTTGAAGCTTTCTCTTGAGTGGGCAGCCTGATGAAAGCCAGTCAATATTTAAATCACCTAGAAAGTATACCTCTCTATTGATATCACATATATTATCAAATCAAATAGCACTTGGTGGTCTATAGTGGCTTCCCACCAGAATGGGCTTTAAATGAGGCAGGTGAACCTGTAGCCATATTACTTCAACAGTATTTAACATGAGATCCTCTCTAAGCTTTACAGGAATGTGGTTCTGAACATTGGCATTTCTGTATTTTCTGTAAATGTTATAACCTTGTATTGCTACCACTGTATCATCAAAGTTATTATCTAAGTGAGTTTCAGAGATTGTTAGAATATGAATGTCATCTATTACTAGCAAATTATTGATTTCATGAACCTTGTTTCTTAAGCTACATATGTTAACGTGGGCTATTTTTAACACTTTTCTGGGATGCTTGATTATTTTTCTTGCTTTACTGGGAAGCTTAGCACACAGTGGACTTCCTACTAGGGCACACCACCTCAGTGCTAACAGTATTACTCAGGTTCATGGGCATATGATTACTGCATACAATAGCTGTAGGATCAGCAGAGGCATTCCGGGCAGTAAGAGGGACATAAATTAGGTTATTTACATTGTGTCTTCCAATGCCCCTAGGATAATGTATATTTGCTGAATCACTATGACAACTCAGCGACACAACGGTAAAATTAAATTAGCTGGACTTGGGTCATTGATAAGTAATTGTCTCAACTCAGCCTTGTAATGCTGTGAAAGGATCCAGGAACCCAAATGATTTGGGTGGATCCCATCCTCCTTATAATACGAGCTTTGTTTCCAGAAGGTATCAAAACTGTAAATAAATGTTACACCCACAGAGGTGCAATAGTCTCGTAGCCAGTTATGGAGGGCTAAAAGTCTGCTGAACCGTTCAATGCAACAATTTAGGGAGGGAAGAAGAAGAAGAAGAAGAAGAAGAGACTGTGACGTATCTTTTTTCATTTATCCTAACCCCCCTGAGATACACACATAAACACTCACCAAAGGAACATAATGATAAATAGAACTGTAGATGGACAGATGCATGGATGGAGGAAAGGCACTGTACAAATACACATCTTGATTGATGGATTGATCAAAAGATTACATTAATGCAGGTAGGGATGGACGGATGGGGGGTTATGTGGATGGGCGGATGGATGGATGGGGACAGATGTACGTAAGGACGGACGAACAGATTAAGTGTAACCCCCTCCCCCTGGCGTACCATTTTCATGGCCAGTTCCTCAGCCAGTAGTTTGTTCTGTAGACTCTTATCCTCCACCTCCTGGCTCTTCTGGTCATAGTTCACAGCCAGCTCCTCTAAGGCCTGTAGTACCTCCTTCACCTATAGACCACAATTGAAAAAAAAGTAAGTGACTTTACTATTGACTTTATTATTGTTACTATTGTAATTTACTGGCTGTATCCAGTGGGGAAAAAAGTATTTAGTCAGCCACCAATTGTGCAAGTTCTCCCACTTAAAAAGATGAGAGAGGCCTGTAATTTTCATCATAGGTACACGTCAACTATGACAGACAAAATGAGAAAAAAAAATCCAGAAAATCACATTGTAGGATTTTTAATGAATTTATTTGCAAATTATGGTGGAAAATAAGTATTTGGTCAATAACAAAAGTTTCTCAATACTTTGTTATATACCCTTTGTTGGCAATGACACAGGTCAAACGTTTTCTGTAAGTCTTTACAAGGTTTTCACACACTGTTGCTGGTATTTTGGCCCATTCCTCCATGCAGATCTCCTCTAGAGCAGTGATGTTTTGGGGCTGTCGCTGAGCAACACAGACTTTCAACTCCCTCCAAAGATTTTCTATGGGGTTGAGATCTGGAGACTGGCTAGGCCACTCCAGGACCTTGAAATGCTTCTTACGAAGCCACTCCTTCGTTGCCCGGGCGGTTTGTTTGGGATCATTGTCATGCTGAAAGACCCAGCCACGTTTCATCTTCAATGCCCTTGCTGATGGAAGGAGGTTTTCACTCAAAATCTCACGATACACGGTCCCATTCATTCTTTCCTTTACACGGATCAGTCGTCCTGGTCCCTTTGCAGAAAAACAGCCCCAAAGCATGATGTTTCCACCCCCATGCTTCACAGTAGGTATGGTGTTCTTTGGATGCAACTCAGCATTCTTTGTCCTCCAAACACGACGAGTTGAGTTTTTACCAAAAAGTTATATTTTGGTTTCATCTGACCATATGACATTCTCCCAATCCTCTTCTGGATCATCCAAATGCACTCTAGCAAACTTCAGACGGGCCTGGACATGTACTGGCTTAAGCAGGGGGACACGTCTGGCACTGCAGGATTTGAGTCCCTGGCGGCGTAGTGTGTTACTGATGGTAGGCTTTGTTACTTTGGTCCCAGCTCTCTGCAGGTCATTCACTATGTCCCCACGTGTGGTTCTGGGATTTTTGCTCACTGTTCTTGTGATCATTTTGACCCCATGGGGTGAGATCTTGCGTGGAGCCCCAGATCGAGGGAGATTATCAGTGGTCTTGTATGTCTTCCATTTCCTAATAATTGCTCCCACAGTTGATTTCTTCAAACCAAGCTGCTTACCTATTGCAGATTCAGTCTTCCCAGCCTGGTGCAGGTCTACAATTTTGTTTCTGGTGTCCTTTGACAGCTCTTTGGTCTTGGCCATAGTGGAGTTTGGAGTGTGACTGTTTGAGGTTGTGGACACGTGTCTTTTATACTGATAACAAGTTCAAACAGGTGCCATTAATACAGGTAACGAGTGGAGGACAGAGGAGCCTCTTAAAGAAGAAGTTACAGGTCTGTGAGAGCCAGAAATCTTGCTTGTTTGTAGGTGACCAAATACTTATTTTCCACCATAATTTGCAAATAAATTCATAAAAAATCCTACAATGTGATTATCTGAAAAAGAAAATCTCAATTTGTCTGTCATAGTTGACGTGTACCTATGATGAAAATTACAGTTCTCTCTCATCTTTTTAAGTGTGAGAACTTGCACAATTGGTGGCTGACTAAATACTTTTTTTCCCCACTGTATGTATTAAATTGTCAAATAAATTAAATAAATCACTCAATCAATCGGCCCACCAACCTCTGCCTTGGCAACGTCACTCTCCATCTGTAGTCTGCCCAGCTCCGATGACACCTTCTCACTGTCCCCACAGGAGGAGGCTAGGATCTGGGAGACACACAATAACCATCACTCACTTATCTTTGCTAGCTCCTTGGAGCGTAGCGCCTCAACATTTGGGCCAGTTCCCAGGCTGAATAACCATAACCATAGCGTTACAAATAAAAGATAAGTGATGGCAGATTATCAAATGTGAGTTGAGTTCTGAATACTCCAATTCCCGAATGAAATTACACTGATAAAAAATAACCACAACATGCAACAATTTCTAAGATTTTACTGAGTTACAGTTCAAAGAAATCAGTCAATTGAAATAAATTCATTAAGCCCTAATCGATGGATTTCACATGACTGGGAATACAGATATGCATCTGTTGGCAACTTATACCTTTAAAAAAATGTAGGGTTGTGGATCAGAACACCAGTCAGTATCTGGTGTGACCACCATTTGCCTCATGCAGCTCGACACATCTCCTTTGCATAGAGTTGATCAGGCTGTTGATTGTGGCCTGTGGAATGTTGTCCCACACCTCTTCAATGGCTGTGCGAAGTTGCTGGATATTGGCGGGAACTAGAACACGCTGTCGTACACGTTGACCCAAAGCATCCCAAACATGCTCAATGGGTGACATGTCTGGTGAGTATGCAGGGCATGGAAGAACTGGGACATTTTCAGCTTCCAGGAATTGTGTACAGATCCTTGCGACATGGGGCAGTGCATTATCATGCTGAAACATGAGGTGATGGCAACGGATGTGGATGAATGGCACGACAATGGGCCTCAGGATTTCGTCACGGTATCTCTGTGCATTCAAATTGCCATCGATAAAATGCAATTGTGTTCGCTGTCCGTAACTTATCCCTGCCCATACCATAACCCCACAGCCACCATGGGGCACTCTGTTCACAACTTTGACATCAGCAAACCGCCCGCCCACACGATGCCATAAATGTTGTCTGCCCGGTACAGTTGAAACCAGGATTCACCCGTGAAGAGCACACTTCTCCAGCGTGCCATTGGCCATCGAAGGTGAGCATTTGCCCACTAAAGTCGGTTACGACGCCAAACTGCAGTCATGTCAAGACCCTGGTGAGGACGACGAGCACGCAGATCAGCTTCCCTGAGACGGTTTCTGACAGTTTGTGCAGAAATTATGTGTTTGTGCAAACCCACAGTTTCATCAGCTCTCCGGGTGGCTGGTCTCAGACGATCCCGCAGGTGAAGAAGCCGGATGTGGAGGTCCTGGGCTGACGTGTTTACACGTGGTCTGCGGTAGTGAGGCCGGTTGGACGTCCTGCCAAATTCTCTAAAACGACGATGGTAGAGAAATGAACATTCAATTCTCTAGTAACAGCTCTAGTGGACATTCCTGCAGTCAGCATGCCAATTGCACGCTCCCTTAAAAACTTGAGACATATGTGGCATTATGTTGTGACAAAACTGCACATTTTAGCGTGGCCTTTTATTGTCCTCGGCACAAGGTGCACCTCTGTAATGATCATGCTGTTTAATCAGCTTCTGTCATGTGTATGGATTATCTTGGCAAAGGAGAAATGCTCATTAACAGGGATGTAAACAAAAATAAAAAATGTTTGCGTATAGAAAATTAATGGGATCTTTTATTTCCTGAAACATTGGACCAACACTTATTTATTTTATTTTTTGGGGGGGGGGATGGATCAGCTTAATATTGCAGATAGATTGTATCCAACACTTTACATATTGTGTTTATATTTTTGTTCAGTATAAATTAAATTAAATCACCCTGCAGATTCTTTTTTCATTTTACAGTATTTCTGGCACAGATCTCTGCTCTTTTGCATGACAAAAATGTCAATTAATCTTCTCCTGCCAACTAAGACTAAGTGGAGCTCAGATGGGCTGAATAATAGATGGATAGAGGAAGATAGATGAGGAAGAACATTGGGCTGAGTAGAGGGAGGGTGTTGTACCTCTTCCTGGTCCAGCATCTGCTCCTTCAGCTTCTCCGCCAGCTGACTCTGCTGGTTGATCTCATCATCCTGTGTAGACACACACACACACAGACAGTGAAAACCAGGTATGTTATACAGAGCATTATGGGTAAAGTAGTTCATCATGCACAGAGACAAACCACATGAAAAAATACTATAGTATACTATGGTATAAATATTGTAGTATTACTATATTTTTATACCACAGCATTGTTGAATTCTCATTTCTGATTGGCTAGAAGGGCATTCTAGAATGGACATTAAACCTAGATAACGGGACAGTTGTAAAAGGTATCGGGACAATTGGAAAATATTGGCACACCTTGCAATCATGACGCAATATGCTCCTACACATGCAGACCGTACTTATTAAAAGGTTACAGAAAGCTAAACCAACAACAACAGAAACCTAAATTGGATACGTTTTAAACCCAGGTCCAACGAAGAAAAACGTAGCTAGCTCAAATTTGTTTTGCATCTGATGGACCTAACGTTGTGAGTGATGAACATGACAAGTGGCGCTATGCTGTCAAATCCTCCCACATGAAATTTCTAGTTTGACCAGCTGTTTTCAGCAACTGATATTTTTGAATTTGGTTGTCATATTGACAAGTTTGCTAGCAACAAACTATTTAGCTAGCTTCTAGCCTAGAGTTTGATATGCAATGTGATCTCCTTGTAATGAACAGTGTCGATGAGTGTCCTGACAAGAAGGCACTACGCCAGGCAAAATTGGGCATCATCAGCTCATTGCTATGGATGTATCAAAATGAATGTCAATAGAAAACAGCTTAAACAAATGCTAATGCAGCTACTTTGCTGTTATTCTGTCTGCAGAGGTCTTGACTGTGTTAGCCATAGCTAGTTTGCTAGCTAGCAAGCAAGGAATAAGAACGTTGCCAGCGAGCATGGCAACGGAACATATAGAATGAACAACTGGGTCGCGTCCCTAAATATAAAACTAATCGAACGAACGACTGGGTCTCATCTCTAGCAACCAAAAGATGAGAACATATGAATTTGCTCATAAAAATATCAGTGCATTTTTATTTAATTATTGGTAAATGTGTGGTTTAGTATCGTTTTCTTTGGGAACTGTGGTATAAGCGGGATAAACACCTCCGTTCTGTACATTACCTTGGACTCTGCTCTGCTTCGTCCCTGTGCGTCATCCATTAATTCCAAGGTAATGTGCAGAATGTTGGCATTTATCCCTTACATATACTACACTGTAAGACGTTTGTGTAATTTCAATAGTAAAACACTGTAGAATGCACAGTAAAATACTGTAAATGTATTTTACAGCATTAATGCTGTAGATTGCATTGCATTATTGGTAAAATGCAAAAAAATACTGTTTTTCGGGAACGTTATGTTTTCACCATCACTACAGAGAAAATGGCTTGTTTCTAGCAGTTCAAAAGATATTACCCATATTACCGGCACAACAGTTTTTTAAGTTTGACATGTCGCATTTTACACATAAACCACTCGCGAGCCACTAAAGCCAGTGTGAATTACCAGTGTTGTATCGAGGTGCCTGCCTACCTAAGGCGCTTCCCACTGGGGAGCTTTATCACAGTGTCACCGGCGGTAGCTACTAACGTGGCCAATTTATTTATCTCCCAGGATTATTATATTTCAAGTAGGATAGCAGACTACAAAAGAAATAACAAATATTGGTAGCCATCTAGATGTCAACGTGATACAGTCTACTCAATGGGGAAAGCATGAACGGCAACCACACCTGGACACAGTGTCCTTGTCACAACCATGTGTGATTTGGTTGACTTGGCTCTCAGCTGCACGACATACTGTATGTCATCGTTTTGCAGGCCAGGAGTGTCCGTACAGCCTCTCCCCGCTAACATTGTTCCATTATGTTACAGTATTAGCTAAACCTGTTCACTTTACCAGTAGTATGCAAACATTTGGTGGCAAAGAATGAAAGGAGAATGTTGTGAGTCTGGCCAAATAATATGTGGAACAGCTTGTGCTCTCATGCATGCTTCAGTGTTGCTTGCCTCGAAGTGCACATAGAAGTTATTTAGCTCGTCTGGTAGGCTCGTGTCACTGGGCAGCTCGCGGCTGTGCTTCCCTTTGTAGTCCTTAATAGTTTGCAAGCCCTGCCACATCGGACGAGCGTCAGAGCCGGTGTAGTAGGATTCGATCTTAGTCCTGTATTGACGCTTTGCCTGTTTGATGGTTCGTCAGAGGGCATAGCGGGATTTCTTATAAGCGTCCGGGTTAGAGTGCCACTCCTTGAAAGCGGCAGCTCTACCCTTTAGCTCAGTGCGGATGTTGCCTGTAATCCATGGCTTCTGGTTGGGGTATGTTTGTACGGTCACTGTGGGGACGACAACATCGATGCACTTATTGATGAAGCCAGTGACTGATGTGTTGTACTCCTCAATGCCATCGGAACAATCCCGGAAACATATTCCAGTCTGTACTAGCAAAACAGTCCTGTAGCTTAGCATCTGCGTCATCTGACCACTTCCGTATTGAGCGAGTCACTGGTACTTCCTGCTTTCGTTTTTGCTTGTAAGCAGGAATCAGGAGGATAGAGTTATGGTCAGATTTGCCAAATGGAGGCCGAGGGAGAGCTTTGTACGCGTCTCTGTGTGTGGATTAAAGGTGGTCTAGAGTTTTTTTCCTCTGGTTGCTGGTAGAAATTAGGTAAAACTTATTTAAGTTTCCCTGCGTTGAAGTCCCCGGCCACTAGGAGCGCCACCTCTGGATGAGCATTTTCTTGTTTGCTTATGGCCTTATACAGCTCGTTGAGTGAGGTCTTAGTGCCAGCATCGGTTTGTGGTGGTAAATAGACAGCAACGGAAAATATAGATGGAAACTCTCTTGGTAAATTGTGTGGTCTACAGCTTATCATGAGATACTCTCCCTCAGGTGAGCAACACCTCGAGACTTCCTTAATATTAGATTTTGTGCACCAGCTGTTATTGACAAATAGACACAGACTACCACCCCTTGTCTTACCAGAGGCAGCTGTTCCATCTTGCCGATACACTAAAAACACAGCCATCTGTATGTTATCCATGTCGTTGTCCACGACTCTG